CATTCCTCTTAAGCTGAATGAATCTCATTTCTAGGAAACCAAGTCAGTCAGACATCCTTCTCTGCTCTTGTGCGTGGGCTGCTGTGTTTTCAGATGGTGGATACCTTTACTTTCATCACCATTTTTGGTTCTTACATGGAGATGCTGCATCCTAATTATTTAACCACAGTTTGACTGAATATTGAAACCTGAGAATTAAATATGATTGAAATTATAACCCTTTTTTGCAATTAGGAAAATCAGATAAACTCAGTTATGCATATGTTAGGAGGTTAGTTAATGTTTTTGAATAATACACATTTACAGTCTTCACTTAAGAGGTATTTGGTTAATTTTAATATGGTTTTTAATCTCTTCAAGTGACCAAAACTTTATAACTTAAGACTCTAATTGGTATCTTGAGGTTTTTGTAACATCATATTTGAAAAATGATAAAAATAAAAAACTTAGAAAAGAAAACGCAAAATATAATTTGTCTTATTTCCCCTAGGGAATGCAATTTAGCATGATTTAAAGCAGAATCAAAAGATAATTATCTTTTGGCACTAATCTTAACATGTGCAATAAAACAAAAATTATCAACCCCGAATAAAACAGAAAAACATTTCCACCGAGGGTTTCATAAAACTGAGGCCATCCTGAACATCAAGGGCATCTTCCTGGACATAAAACAGAGCTGGTTTTAATGGTTTAGGGAGGAAGAGAAATTTTTCTCCAAGTGGGAGGAGGGTTTTCACAGATGACAAAGCTCCATGTTTCTCCAACTCATGTGAAAACATCAAAACCATACAAATGAAAAGGCTGGCACAGTCCGAGGGTTACTGGGTCGGGATGGAGCAAGGCTTCTAGCGAGGAGAGCTGGCTATGTACTCCTGGGTTTCCAAAGCCCCATCCCTCAGCCCAGAGGAACCCTGGGCTTGGAGGAGCCTTGGAGGAGGGACAAACAGCCTCCAGGGCCAATTTCAATGTAGAATAAATACGAGATAAGACATATTTATCTGGTTTTGCCAGATCTGCAAAGCCACGCCCCCACAAACACTAGGAAGGGCTTGGCACATGCAGTGCCACTGGGGACCAGATGGACTCCTGCCCTGGGTAGACAGGCCAGCCAGGGGGTGAGTTCCTGGCAGGGTGGCTGAGGCCACCCTGACCTTGGGGATGGAGAAGTGGTGCCAGAGAAGAACCCCAGGTGTCTCAGACCATCAAGGTTTTTAAAACCACTGGTTACAAGGCTGCTCCCATAAACCGCAGCTTTCTCCAACATGGGGCAGTACGGGCTTCCAGGGCTAGGCGTTTGGTGAAGAATGAAGGCAGCACAGCGCAAGTCAGGTAGGCCCTCACTCTAGAAGGTCGAGGCTCCAGCTTAAGGAGGCAGCAGTTGGAAATGCCATCATGTTGGCCTGTCATAGAGCAAAGTCGTGTCTACCGCTCAGCTTCCAGAGCTAGCAAAGATGACGCCCAATCAGACACAGTGACACACACTCCATTCTAACCCCAAGTAGGGGTGGGGACCCAGACTGAGTCCCATCCCCTTCCATCCCAGCACAGCACAGGACCCTCAGGAGCACTTCAGCATTCCTGGGGTGGAGGTAGAGAACATGACTCGACAGTGGGGGGCACCAAGCACAGGGCAGCCGAGTTTGCGCACCAATCCCATTACGATCCAGGCGCACACACACAGTGTTAAGTCGAAAGCCAACAGAGCCATGCTGAATCAGTTGAGTCCACCTTGCCAGCAGGTCACAGAAACGGAACTGCTTCCCCACTGCCAGTCACGAATACTGGCTGCCAGCTCGGTGGATGTGTGTGGTCCTATGCCTGGCACCGTATCCTGATAGTCAGAAGAGGTCTCCAGGACTTGCAGGTCCTAGAATGGACCTGTGCAGGCCTGAGAGACCGCCCCTTCCCTGCTCGCCCCTCTCCCTCCTTCGGGGGTGCGGTGCCCAGGAGCCCAGCAGAAGGCGTCTGACTTCCCAGTGCCCACTGTTTCTGTGGGGTGTACTGAGCTCATGCACTATGCACTATTACTCATTCTTTTCACATTCTCTTCTGTACTGTGTTTTCTTTTAAAGCAATGATATCATCATAGTGCCTATGGAACTTACTGATACAACTCTTTATTAATTTAACAAGAGTACGTATTATGTAGCTACTATGTGCAAATTGTCACAGAATAGGCTTTCTTGCTATTGGCAAGAATGGTTCCTTTTTTAAAAAACTACTTTCACTATATGCTCCAAGTCACACTTGACCACATCTTCACAGGGTGCACTGTGGTCATCATATGCTAGTTATTTGTTAACAAAGTAATATATTATTTTATACAAAAATTCATAGGAAAAAAATACTGTCTTCAGTTGATATAAAGAAACACCAGAGAAACATAAAACAATGTATTTTCAGTCTGGTCTTTTTCTATAAAAGAACATGAAAGCCAGGTACATTTTTTTAAAAAGACCAGATGATTATTGTCACATTTGCTTATGTTTTCTTAAATAAATGTGCCTGTGTCTGCCAAAAGATTATAAGTAAAAGAATATCTTAAAAAATATAAATTAAAGACAAATAAAATTCCTCTGATATTTAAAATTCCAATAACAGTGGTCAGTAGTAAGTCCTATAACTGTTTGCCATTTCACTGTTTAAACTTAATAAATAGACTATTGTCTTAAATACCAACTAGGTCTTTCTTTAGGCCCTCAGAATAAACATGTAGCTGTACAACTGGTATTGAACACAAATATAATCCAGTAGTCTCATGTTCCGTGTCTGTAAATTAACTCAATGCCATCTTTTTGTGTTCCACTCATTTTAGCTGACTTAAATCAAATTATAGAGAAGGGTAACTTTTGTAAACTGGGATTTCCTAAAACATTATTTTCTGTCCCGCTAAACCCTGAAAGCCCACTCAGTTTTTACTGGTTAATTAGAATTGGCAGGTCACTTAAAGGCTTGGAAATCTGGTTACAGCAAGTGAAAGGTGAAACACAGAAATGTACTTCTCCCATGAGTTTACATGGAACTTAATCTGCCAAAGCCTGAACTGCTTTTCTACTGACACTTCAATTGGCTTCAATTGGCTTTTTTGAAAAATGCAGATTTCTAGCAACACGGTTTATAATAATTTTATATTTGTTTCTCAGATTAAATTCAGTTACTGCCATAGTGCTTCCTGCATAATAAATTCTCAAGATCTGGTGATAAATGTGAAACAGATAATTTTTTAATTAATTTCCCATGTGCCAATTTGTGTGGCACAGAAGCAAAACAAATAACTTGAAAATAAGGTGACAAAACGGAACAAAACTTGGTTTCTAAAGTTCACGAGAAGGCACAGAGGTAATATCCTTATACAACAAGGAACACGTGTCTATAGCAATCATTTCTATGAGAAAATTAATTCCCTGAATATACTTTAAATATTTCTGCCATTTGCACGCATGAGTCTGATGGTTAAACCTGTGGAGTCTGCCCTTTCTCAGCTCTGCCGAGGATGCAGGGAAAGTTCTCAGCAGTAACAGACTGAAGCTCAACAGTTGAGATTCAGGGGTCAGAGGCAGCGATTAAGAGGGTGGGACTCAAGCTCCATTCAACCTTCTGCTGCACTGAGACAGGTGTTCCTCATGCTGCCTCTCACAGTTGTAAATCAGTGAACATTTGCACCTCACAATAGTCTGCCTTGGGCTCATGAGCTGGAAGGTATCAAGACTCAGGCATTCCCCCCTCAAGGATTCCTTTTAGGATGAATACTTGAGGGGCTTGGGGGTGAAAAAAGAATCAAACCACTCATAGTAGCCTGAACTTCAATGAACATTTTGAGTCTTCTGTCAGTGGATATAAAATTTCCTTTGGAGGAAGACACACAACCACAGAGAAGAAAGCTTTACTGCAAAGACAGCCTCTGTGAATGTGCAATTTTTTTCACTGAAAGATGATCATAGACATTTCATTTTGTTACTAATTATCTGCTTCCTCAGCAACTGGCCTACTTTAAACCTAGATGGTTGCTTTCTTACAATAAGAATTTATGAAATCTTCCATTGAAAAAAACAATAGGAAACACACGCAATCAACTGAGAGCCCATGTGAAAAATCACAGAATCGGTTTTCATGAAAACAGTCAAATCACCAACCAATGATGAAGCAGCCCTTTGCTTGTCTGCAAGATGTCAAAGTAGTCCATTTTAAAAGGTAAAAGTTCTGTCAAACACTGTTTGGAACCCAACGCAATCCACACATTTTGGAGAATTTTAAACTAAATTAGCCAAGTGTTTTGACATTCCGAAATCAGGTCAAAAGCCAATATCGATTAGCAAAATTTCTATGTTTATACCCAAGGCTACAGTTTGTTTAACATATACAAAAAAAATCTTTTGAAGAATTTAGATAATCAAAATTCCCAAGTTTGAAATATATTTTGGTGGTCAAGTCATAAGAATTATTTTCATGACTCAGTAGCCAAGGAAAAAGATACACAGTTGACCCTTAATCAGCACAACAGGGTTTTGGACATCTCAGGTTCACTCAAAGAAGGATTTTCTTCCACCTCTGCCACCCTGAGACGGCAAGACCAGCCCCTCCTCTTCCTCTTCCTCCTTAGCCCACTCAATGTGAAGATGATGAGTTTGAAGACCCTTATGATGATCCACTCCCACTTTATGAAGAGTAAATGCATGTTCTTTTCCCCACGATTCTTTCAACATTTCTCTTCAGTAGCTTACTCTATTGTAAGAATACAGTATATACTATCGACAGCCTACAAAATAGGCATTCATCGACTGATTATGCTCTCCGTAAAGGCTTCCAGCCAACAGGCAGCTATTAGTGGGTACATGTTTGAGGCACTGAAAGTTATATGGGGATTTTCAGCTGTGTGGTTGAACGTAACCCCCATTTTATTCAAGGGTCAAATGCACAATACACTTCACTCCAAGAAAATAAAAACATGTTCCAGATCTATTAAATCAGTCCTTACAAAGTGACATTGGGGTCCCTCTTACCTGAATTCTTATTGGTTTTGTTCTGCCGACTTTTAACTTGTTCAGTCCACAGAGTAGGATAACGTGATGCAATATCTAGTCAACCAAATAAAATAATAATTATTTTTAATTCATCATGGAAACACAAAATTCCTCAATTAAATATTTCAGCAGGTAGCCTAAAATCCAAAACAGTCAATATAGTAAATAAATACATTGCACATTTTAAAAGAAATCATTAAAGTGATTATATGCATTAGACCAAAGAAAATAATAATACATTTAAAAATATTACTTTAGGATATTTTTTCTTTATCCAAAAGTGTAATTAAAAGCTATTTGGATTGAGACAGGTTTTACTTTAAAAGAACGGAGCTTCAGAAAATGCCCAGTGTGCAAAAATATACCCTTGTGTGGTTAAGATGGATATTCGTGTGACATACAGGTTTTTCACTCAGGTGAAATAATTGATACAAAGTGTGATATGTAAAATGTAACTTTTGCCTAAAACTTTTAGGAACATATCTTTTATAGTAATACTGCTAATACGCAAGATTGACTGTTTCTGGTGTGGTTTTATTTGTGTACCTGAGAACACAGACCCTGACACAGACCACATGGGTGTGAGTCCCCATGAGCTATCTATCACCATCCTCATGAACTTTGGTAAGTGACCTCAGCGTTCTCATCTGTGGCACAGTTTTCTGACACTGGGTGAATTAACACAAGCAGAGCACACAGGGGTAACCCGTGGTACCATGCAGCCATGAGTTACTATCTCCAGTATTTCCCAAGTACAGTGTGAATCTCTATTTCAGTCTTTGACTCATCTTCTGTAATGCGTACTGCTTCTGCTTTGCCTTAAAGCTCAGACACCCTTAGATCTGAGGATCTATTAGGCATTGGCGAGTACCTAAGGAGTGCGTTAAAGGTGAAAACAGGAAGCCTGTCCTTGCCACAACTACTTACAGAGATGAGAAACATAGATGGGAAAGGGTGTGTGTGACTGCTCCCTCCTAAGCCATTCAGTTTATAGTACCCAAGTTATAAAATGTCAACTCATATTTTTATTAAAATAAATAAATAAAAAGTGCCTCGGCATTCTGCCATTAGAGAGCACCATGGCGATGTGTGGAGGTCCCTAGCTCCAAAGACATCAGGAGAAGCAGCCATGTGGAGATGCCCCCACCCAGCCCATTCCTGCTTGCTAGCTCTAATGTCTCTGCTCAAGATGCACAGCATGATGCTTCCATGTGCATATACACAGCAAAGTTAGCCACGATCAAGCCAAGCAATATACCCACCATCTCACACAGCCCCTGGGCTGTGTTAAGAAGGGTTTCATATCTAGTACATCATTATCCATTATAATCCTCAGGGTCCTTAGCTCGGTAGACATATTCACTCTACAAAATGGCATCTTTGTGCCTCATCCCCCCATTTCCGTGACCCCCCACCCTTGTAACCCCCAGTCTGCTATCTGTTTCTGCATATCAGCTTAGTTTTGTTTTGATTAGATTCCATGTATACATGAGATCACATGTTATTTTTCTTCCTGTGTCGGCTTATTTCAACCCATTTTGAACTCGATTCAGCCAAGAAGACTCACTCTACTGCCCACACCACAGTCTCGCCCAGCCCCCATGAGACCCTTTCCCCAGGCTCACCTTCCTCGTCTCCTTGTGGCTGAGTCTCCAGCGCTGGGGCTGCGGCATCATCTGAATTCAGAACGGAAAAGATTTGCAAGGAGACTACAATTATGAGAGTAAGGGAAGTGAGTGTGCATACCGGTGGAAGCTGGGATTCGCAAACAGCCCCAGATTAACCCAAACAAAAGCCCAGAGCAGATACAGGAGTCAGTAGGGGGCCACAGCTTTAATAGACCCACACATTGGGTGGCCCTGCAAAGCAAACCCTCTTTAGATGTTGCTCTAATGAGACATGGCTCCCTGAGGGGACGTCGCAGTCCCATGTGCTTCTAAACTATGGGGCCAATGACAGGCCACAGGATGGAGGAGGAAGACACAGGATGACATGAGCAAGGGACGTCTAGCACTAGGAAAGAACATTAAGTCAGGAAAGCCATGAATTATGGTCACTGGATATTATCAGAAGAGAGACAGATGGGGCTAGGGAGGGGGCAAAGCATTATACCATGATCAGCTCATGTTTTCTCAAAGAGGAAAAAGGGATCAAAGAAGCATGGATGAAGTTACTTCCCTGTACAGTCTTACAGGCTGCCGTACTACTGATCACACCTCTACAGTAGAAATATCTATATAAGGACTTGAGAGGAGATTCAGTAGAATGATCTATAAGAGCATCTGAGGGGGGTACAGTAGAATAATCCATATGAGCACCTGAGGTGGGGGGGTACAGTAGAATAATGTATATGAGTACCTGAGAGAGGTACAACAGAATGATCTCTATGAGTACCTATGGAGGGTACAGTGGAATGGTCTATGGGGGCTGCTGTAGATCCAAGGATGGAGGACAGTCTGGGCTTGTTTATGAGGAATCTCAGTACCCAGTTTGTGGAAGACATAGATTTCAAGTGAATAATCTTTCTGTAATTAATTGAAATGCCCCCTTTGGGTTCTCTGGACAGAATAAGGTGTACAAAACTGAGAGTTGTGGCTGAGGGTAGGCCCAGAGCCAGGCGTCTTCCCCTGGGACTGTGACATAGTTCCTAGGCCCTGGTGGGTGCTCCCAAGCACTGTCCTAATGTTTTCTTCACTCCTGCTTGCTCATGTCATTTTGTTAAACAATAATTTCAGGGTCTAAATACAAGAGAAGGTGGCAGAAATGCAGGCCTGTCCCAGGGCCTGTCCAGGGAACCAGGGCTCATTACTCCCCCGTTGTTTGAAGAACACAAATAAAATTTATCATAGGTTTTGTATGGGGACTATCAAGACAGATTTTTTTAAAAGCCTTGAACAGTGAGCCACCTCTTGAAAAAAGTTTACAAGCTTCCAAAATACTGACAAAAAAGTCACATTGCTTATTTGAAATCTCCAAGTCTAACCTTGATAATAACCTTAAACTGGGAGTATCTTGCTTTTGACAATGTTGCAATCTTCTTTCAAGAATATAAATGAAATGAGGTACATATTTAAAATGTTTAACATATTAAAGGTCTTAAAATAACAGAAGGAAAAGTCTTTAAAGAACATGCTTAGAAGGTTTCTGGAATGATGATGATCAAATACATGATTGCTGACATGTATTCCTACTGAAGCCTGGACAGGGCACCATGCTGGGGCCACTAGCCCATTCCCTGAATCCCTGGGACCATGCCAGTCTGAAAATGCAGCCGGCCAGTCACGCACTGAGGAAGGTTGTGGCCAGAGGAGCATGCCTGTGGCCTCTCTTCCCCCTTCACCCTTGACTCCAGCACCAGAAGGGTCTGCCTCCTGCCCTTGTGCACTCCCACTTTAGCGTGGTAGCCCCAGCCATTCTCCCGTCCTGGAAAGGCTCTGTCCCAACCTAACACAGCCATAGCAGCTGCTGAACTCAGCCCTAAGGGAGTCAAACACAGAGCCTGCAGAGCTGTGTGTTTTCAGTGTTCCCTCTACTAGGATTTGTAGAAAGCCTCATTTTTATCTACAAACCAGCTTTGGCTGCTGAATCCCAGGCATCCCCATCTACACGTGCCTGCAAACCAAGGGGCTTGTTCCTTCCTCAAGTTCATTTTTGTGCCCATGTACCCACTTCCCAGGGATTTTTTTTTTGCATACTACAAGTGTCATAGTGAACAGGACCAGATGCCTCCTGAGATAGTGGAAGCCACCTGGCTCCCCCACATTCAGCATTTTCTAAGCATGAAGATTGTCACTTCCTTTCTGTAAAAATCACATGTCCACCCCATTCTCTTTAAGATCTGACCCAAGCCATGCTCTCAACTATCACATGCAACGTCATGGCCTCCTTTTCAGATGTAAGCCCTCCTCCAAGCCATGTCCCAGTGATGCCCTCCAATGTTTTCCAGCTGGAAATGAGCTATTTCCCTCAGCTCGGAGGTGTCCTCCAGTCCACAGGACACCTGTCCAATCTTTCCCTTTCAGGATACCCTCCCCTTCCCTGAGTCCTCCTGAGTGTCCCCACTCTGGGCAGGATGACATTCCTGGTCCCTGTCCCCCGTGCATGTCTTAATAACACAGAGATCCTTCACAAGAGATCTTGGGTGGGCTGGGGCCCACCAAGGGCCCCTTGTGTGTGTAGGGGCCAGGTGGGGTAACACTTGGGGCTAGCTGTCTCTAAGGCACTTCTCCTTGATTTATTATAGAGACAAGGTCTCACCAAGTTGCCCAGGTTGGTCTCAAACTCATGGGCTCAGGCAATCCACGCGCCTTGGCCTCCCAAGGTGCTGGGATTACAGGCTGAGCCACCGAGCCTGGCTGCCCCTCCTCCTTGTAAGGAAGAGTCAACCCTCTTTATCGGGGTCTCAATCAGTGCTGGGGTTAGACCCACAACGTGGAACCTGCGCCTCTCCACAGGCACCCACCCAACCCGCCCTGTGGCACTAAACCACAGCTGCAGGTGGTCCCAGCACAGCCACATCAGTGGTACTGGGTCTCCCCACACAGTATCTGCCCACACTTAGCCACACATGGGCAATAGTAAGATTTGAATGCACATTTGTTGAGTGAATAAGGAAGCAACAAACGATTTCAGCTCTCATGTCATTACGAGGACAAGCTTAAATCATAACATGATGAGTTATTTTAAGGCATAGACTAAGCTAGCATCATGGAAATTCACTGCAAGATAGTTACCTGTTTTTCCTGTGCCTTCCCGCTGGGGTAACTTTTCATTTACAGAACCTAAAAGAGGAAAATGAGGAAGAAAATTATTTGGGTCTATCAAATGGTCATCAAAAATTAAGTTATGCAAACATTTAGTTTTATTTTGATTAATTTGCAGTGCTCTGGCACATTCTAGTTCTAGTTAAGTTCTGTAACTTTGTAGTGCCTGGAAGGAACAAGGTCACCCAGAGTCACAGGCCCCAGACTAAGAAACAAAAGATTAGTTGCTGCCTCTGACATCAAGGGCTAAACACTAGCATTCGACCCCTTAACCCGATGTGTTACTGTCCTTTCACCTGAAGAGTGTCACCACAGCCCTCTGAACACATAGCACCATGGTGAGGCACTAGAGTGAACTGGGTAAAAAAGGAAAAGTATTTTAGAATAAAAAAAAGTTATGCACTCGAGATAATTAAAAACTCTGTTTTCAGCTTGATTCCGAATTCTAGAAAACTGAGGAACTATCTTTTTGTAGAAAAGTACAGGAAATATACTAAGTAATTTGTGACCAAGTAATTTGTGACAAAATTGCTAACATTCATATGATGCTGGAAGACTATGTTACAATGTGAACCACTGTTCTCTCTTTTCCAATAGAGTGAAGCTGCTGGAGGTTTCACCTTTTTTCCTCATCACTAATGCACCTTACTCAAATGAATAAACAGGAAAGTTCTGCTCAGAACTAATCAGGAGTTTGCTGATTCAGTTCAGAACTAATTTATTATTACCATAGCTGCACATATGCTGGTAACATTCCTTAGCAAAAAACACCTTGAAACTTGAAATATGTTTTTTTTCCTTCAATTTTGAACAGGACATCGACAGACAGGCTAACATTTACATTCATGATACACAGTTTATAGTGTTGATGAGGATGTTTACCCTGTTCTGGGAAAAGTAACAGTAATGTAGCAGGGAACATACAAGCAATTCATTGTAGCAAAGGCCATCAGGGGCAGACATCATCAATAACGTCTGGGACACAATCGTAGATGCTGTCATCCTCCAGAGCCACCGAATGAAGTCATCCTAAGGTGGTAGTGCTCAAACACTCAGCCATTCCAAGGTAGCAGGGTGATGTACAAGAAGTAGAATTCCGTCATTCTGAAACACTCCTTCAGCAGAGGCCAGCTGCTTCATGACAGCTGAGTGAGGACTCCCATGGGGCGTTCTTGGTGCCTTTCCACTCACAACTCCCTCCCCCCACCAGAGCTGCACATCTATGAAATAACTGAATAGCACACCTGTGTAAATGCCACATTGCCAGTGAATAAAGAGGAGCCACATTTCTCTGGTTCACCTATGTGTGCACTGTGTTTAGGAGCTTACGAAAGTCATTCCCCTAGCTCCCAGCTGTGACTGCAACTGCGACTGAGTGTTGCCATGTGACAGGGTTTCCAGGCAGTATGGCCCAGAGTTCTGATAAGAACCCCAGATGAAGTCCCAGTCAGCTCATGGCTTCCTGTCAGGACCTCAGAAACTCCTTTCTCTTGTCTCCCTTTTGAACTGTCTCTTTACAAATCCAGATTTCGGAAAGAGCTTAAGTTTCTTAGTCATCAGCTTATATTTATCATGTGTTCCTGCAATGAGTCAAAAAATATTTTCTACTTTTGACTGGAAATGATCATATTTTGGCAATATTTCTGAATATAACTGTGTAGGTTTTAATTTTATTAGCATACTTGTGAAACGCAAATATGCTAAATAATAATTAGAATACTCCTTATGAGAAAGTGTCTTGATTGAATTAAGATAATTTTTTGTAATCTAAAGGCAAAACAGTACAAACTGCAGACTTAAGGTTTGATCAGAGGCTGAGATCAGAAGCCAACATTTAAACACTGCTCACTCCTGCCCTTAGGGCCTCTGTGCTCTGTGAGCCAACCCAACTCCCAGCAGACCCCACAGGGGCTTGGAGCAGCCCTCTTTATCCATCTGTGGCAGCATCAGCTGGCCTGGCCATGCCTGGCTCCTGGGGAGGCTCTATCAGGCAATGTGTCCCTCAGGGTCACCAAGAGGTGCTGGTGGCCACAAGCTCCTCTAACTGGCCACATAGTCCACCCCGGGATCAGGTCACACATCGGAAGGGCGTGGGGCCACTCCTGGGCTGCTTCTATGGGGGTCTCTTGCCTCCACCCAGCCAAGTGTGGTCCCAGATGGAGCAACATTCCTGCTGGAAGCTTGTCAAAAGCCAGCGTCAGGCCTCCCTCCGATCTAAGCCCTAAGCCAGATGCTCTGGGGATGGGCAGGACCTGGGTACCCTGAGTCCTCCCAAGGGTCTGACACCTGAGACTCCAGAGCCAGCGTCCACACAAGACGGGTGGCCAGGTCTCTGCTTATGAGGCTGCCTTCATGCTGTGTAGTTCTTGTCAGGGTGGTCAGTCTGGTTATATTTAACAGTGTCATGATCCTTCTGGTCACCGTCTGTGCCTGCTCTGTGCCTGCTTTGCACCTTGCCTGCCAGGGCGCTCCCCATTCCTGAGCCCTCACCTCCAACTCTACCCAACATTGCCACTTCTGTGTTTCTGTGGATACAGAGACCAAAGTCAGTAGTTTCCACTCGGTGGCTTCGGTGATGCTTAGGGACTCGGCAGAAGCCGCGGTGTCCTTGCAGCACCAGATTTTATTCTTGCTGGTTGCATTCTTTTCTAGGATCCTGGCTTTGGACAGCAGGGGGTCCTGGCAGGGGGTGTGTCAGAATATGCTGAACTTCTTTGTTTCTCAGGTGTGGCTCTGATGATGCCAAACTGGAGAACTTCCTCCTCTACTACCAAAAAAAGTGACCTCGCCAGTCACAGATGTTTCCTTACAAAGGCTGAGGAACATTTCTGGATGTTCCTTCCGGGGTGTCCACAGCAGGCCTCTGTTTATAGACATCCATGATGTTTCCTTTAATGTCTGGCTTGACATGTCTCCACAGCAGGAGATGACAGATGGGAGTCGCTGTGTCACTCTTGCACAAGGGCCACACTACACTGAAATCATTTCATAAATCTCTCCAATACTCAGGTACTGTAGTTGCGGATAGAAATAAAAGGTCCTAGCCGGGCTCGGTGGCTCAGCCTGTAATCCCGCGCCTTTGGGAGACTGAGGTGAGTGGATTGCCTGAGCCCGCGGGTTTGAGACCCGCCTGGGCAGTGAGACCTCATCTCTACAATCAATCAAAAAATCAGCCGGGCGTGGTAGCGCATGCCTGTAATTCCGGCTACTTGGAAGGCTGAGGAGAAAGGATCGCCGGAGCCCAGCAGGTCGAGGCTGCGGTGGCCGGAAGCGGCTACTGCACTCCAGTCTGGGCGACAGAGTGAGACTTCAACTCAAAAAAAAAAAAAAAAAAAAGAAAAGAAAAGAAATAAAAGGTCCTATAAAAAATTGGTATTTTTCCAAAAAATAATAATAATAAGGAAAAGTAATATACTTTTGTTGTTGTTATTGTTGTTTGTTTGTTTGTTTGTTTGAAAGCAAGATGTATTGAGAGGACAGAAAAGCTCCCACAGTGGGAGGGGGCCCAAGGGGATTGCCCTATACTTGTTTTTATATGCATAAAATATCCCTGGCTGGACATAGCCTTTATTCTCCAAGTGCAGCTATGTAAACTGGGACTATTTGCTTCTGAGAGACATCTTGATTTCATTCAGAAAGTTGTATTAAATGTTAGATGATGTGAGAGAAAAGCCATTTGAGACTAGGAATGGTGAAGAGGACACTCTTTTAAACGAACGGAAGGTTTCATTGCACATTAGCCACCAAATTAAATGTACAACACAGTGAAGTACAGGAGGAGACTGTAATAAAATGTGAGTATTAGATGCCAAAAAACACTTTTATTCCTGAAAGGAAAAGTAATAAAACTAATATGTATTTTTCCTGAGCAGAAAAATTATAACACCAAATAACTGTTCATCAGAAGCTGAACAATTCAAAACATGAGTCCAAATTTAAAAAGGAATGTGAAGCAGAGGACAGGCTGCACCCATGGGAGCACAAGGGCTCCACCCAGAGGGGACCCTCTGCCCAGGGAGGCACCAGGGCCTACATCTAGAGGGAGTCTCCACCCAGGGGGATAGCAGAGCCCCCACCCAGAGGGAAGCCTCCACCAGAGGAGATAAGAGCCTTCACCCAGAGGGGAGCCTCCACTCAGGGGACACCGGGCCTCTACCTAGAGGGGAGCCTCTGCCCGGGGGGGCAAGGGCCTCCACCCAGAGGGGAGCCTCCACCTAGAGGGGAGCCTCTGTCCAGAGGGCACCACAGCCTCCATCAGGGAAGGGCCTCACGTGTCCTGAGTGGGATGAGGGAGACCTGACACTGGTGGGTGGCATTGGTCTGGGCAGGAGCCTTGGCCAGCTCTCAGACAGGCAGTAAAGACTCTCGTTTAGACTAACAACCACACCATGTGGCCTTTTCCCTCATCATGTTACTTAATTTTTTAAATTTTAGTATCAGTTAAACATCTTCAGAAATGTCCACCCTGTGGAACTTTTATTGGAAAGACAACAAATCCCGTGTGGTTGCCTCTAGCCACTATATCATCTTATCATGGATATCAAATCTTCTCAATGCTAAAATGTGCTATAGGGAAAATGTAACTTATAATATAACTTATCTAGGAAGTACCAAGGTTTTAAATAGATAAAATGCTAACACTTTTCCAGCAGGTTGCACTGAGGGTGGACACTGCCGTCACCCCTGTGCCCACAGCTGCCTGGAAGGGCCACGGACCCAAGGGCCTGCCCTACTTCTTATAAAACCATCTGTGTTGGCACTTCCTTGCCAATATGCATTGAAATATTTTATTTTCATAACTATAACTTTGAGGAAAAGAACTTAAGCCTAGAGAAAAAGTCATATGGGGGGGGGAACAAAAAAAGTCCCAGGTTTCTGCTGATCCATGAACTTTCAGGTCAAACAAAGTAACTTCATATTTGCATTTTAATAATTGTTATAAAGAAATACTGCAGAGATGTTAGAAACCAACCACAGCAGTCTTACTGATTTCAATATTTGGAAGTTTAGGTATTCTG